AAAGAAAGACTGTGGTGATAGAACCCCATTTGGAACCGCGCCGAGATCCGGTCTGAGCACCGTAACGAAGATAACTGTTGAATGTAAATGGTACGCAAAACTGAACTGGACTGCACCAAACACAACCAAACCACGCTAACATGGTACTAGCTCATCAGTAGGGCTCGGCGTGGTTCAGTTCTGGCTCGGTTCTCAGATAACAAATAGCGAATGAGCAGAATGCGTCATCTCCTTACAGTCAGCCTCCGTAATCATGAAACTTCAGAGATTCATAAAATCCTAGCTTCCCTATCGTGCCGCATGATTTCCAGTGATGATTCTGCTTAGCAGTGTGATGAACCTCAACGTCTGTCGTTGTTTCCTGCATCTGGAAGCTCTGATTAGATTGTTTGTCGTATCCAATTCTCAAACGCCTAGCCTCATGAGACCATCCTGATCTTGCGAGCTTTCAAGGTTTCACTCGCAGATCAGTCTGGAGACTCTCCGTTAAAGAAAACTTGGAGCCGTTCACCAAACGAACGTCCAATCAGCGTTGGCTTTGAGGCGGGTTGAGGTGTGACGCAACGAGAAGCGCGACAGTTCAGTCTAAAGAACATGGCGGCTTCAGCCGATGAAACTAGCGTTAGCGTGGCTATCGAGCAAGAGTTTTATCGGAGTTACAGAGTATTTCTTCACTGAAAGAAGAGCAAAACACTGCTCTGGAGGCTTTTCTCAGAGGAAAAGATGTTTTTGCTCTTCTCCCGACTGGTTTCGGCAAGAGTTTGTTCTATCAATTGGCTCCTCTTCGTCGTCGCTCTGTTAGTACGTCATATGCTTCGTTGATCTGATTGGTTTATTTGGCCCGTCTATCACCAACGTAGGCCAATCATCTAACCAGTATTTTCACCCCTTCCCAAAATTACTTTAACTTTAAGATAGACTCTAAGGTGTCACTCTGCTGACTTTCTCAACCAGGGAACCTTAGAGGTGTCCTAACCTGCTGTAGATCCTCCGTCTCGTCCTGGTTTAGCCTCGTTTCCCAAAGGTCTGACTCTACCTGCTGCTCTACCTGCTGCTCTAGATGTAGAAACGGGCTCCTATAGGCCAGGGACTGTCTTCTGGAAGACACTCTCTGACTTTGGTCTTTGTCTGACACCTAATGTTAGATCAGGCTGAAGTTCAGTCAGCTGAGAGTTTTCGTCTGAATTTGGTTTCATTCTTCATTTATTTTGGTTTTTACCTTAAAGTTGTTTATTTCTGTCTGCGACTTTAAACTGATGACATGTTTAAGGATTTCAAGCTCAGAATAATCAAACATGTTTAAGTTAATAGAACTTTTTAAACAGCATCATGATTCATTAATGACCTTTTTAAGACCATAAAGTTTCTTCCTCCCTCCTTTGTTCTCTCCATCTTTTCTCCTTCCCTGGTTTTCTTTCTCCTCCTTATCACCTCCTCGCTCCGTCTTCCTGTCTTTGTCCGTTTTCTCCCCTCCGGGTTCTTCCCGCCCCGTCCAGCTGTTTTCCCTGGAGACTGGAGCTCCATCGTTTGGAAACGGTGACTTGGCAGCGAAGGGACGATGAGCCTCTGAAATGAAATGTGTGTTGGATACCCGGAGTTGTTTCTGTGTTGTGTAACCTCAGCGAGTGGGCTGATGTTTTCATGAACGCTGACAGCCACAACATTATGAAATCAGACAAAGAAAGGATCGTTAATGGCGCTGTCAGCCATCCGAGCCGCACTCTGACATTAGGAGACACTCAACTCCTGCATGAAGAAACAAGGAACTCGTTTGGAGCTTAAACTGCTGCATTTGATGCTAATTAGATGATTTTTGTCTCAGTTTCTGGGTTTTTATGAAATGGAAACATGTCCCAGTCTAAAGGCTGCTGGAAATGACTAACAGGTCGATGAAACCCGGTTAAAATCCCACCATGAGCCTGAAATCCTCTCAGCTTTGTGGCTTTTATTGTTTCTACGTGGTTAAGGTTAGGAAAACCCCTCAGAAAGAATCGAGCTGCCTCTTCCTGAAACACACGTCTCCTTGGCGACGCAGGCTAAACACGCTCAGGATGCACGGCTCACATCCTGCCGCAGTAGATCCTCCTGGACGTTACGCTCCGTGGTGTTAAGGTTTTAAAATGTTTTTCTGTTGTAGTGAATGTTTCATATCATCCTGCAAACCAGGGAGAGAAAAAAAATCACTATTCTAGTGAATCAGAGCCCCAGAGAAGCGTTTCACCCTTAAAGGTCAAAATATTTACATAAATTAGGATTTATTACTTTACTGGACTCACAAAGCAAATTTCACTGAAATCCAAGAGAAGCAAACATCCTTCTCTGTTTCTACTGCGGATTTGTTTCAAATAAAAAGCTCAGATTGAGGCTGCAGAGAAAATATTTCACATAAATGCATTTTGGCGTTAATGGAAACATTTTTAATTCCAGGTGACTAAATGACTCTCTGATCGGTGTTTGTAACTTTATGTTGTGTTGGAAGTCAGGAGGAACCAATAAAACCGATTTTATAATTAGATAAAATAACATGCTAATGCATCCATTATTTAGAAAAACTGATCGAATCCAACGTTAGAACTTTGACCTTTGCCGCTTTGCAGGACTAATTCTGACAAGTGAAGGACCTGATGGGGTCTCCATAGCTTCTCATTCAGACTGAAGTCCAGGATTTAAACCAAACTGTGTTTGAGGTTAAATAAAAAAAGTCATACTACGCTTATTCAGAATTCAACCTTCTGAAAGTTCTTTAAATATGAAATTATTCCATCCTGTTCAATAAATGATCAGTGTTTTTAATCCAGAGTAATTTTCATGTGAATGTGCTTTACTGGAGGCATCCATGTTTGTCAAAGAACACTACTGCCACCTACTGGTTAGTGACATTGTCACGGTGCGGTATCGGCTGTTGATCAAGTCCCAGTGCTGTATCTGGTGTTTGTCACAACGCGCTATTATCCAAGTCATCTTGAAAACATTCTTCTTCCAAATGTTGGCTACATATTACGTGTTTTTTCTCTGGCCAGAAGTTCGATGGCAAATCCTCCCTCTTCAAGTTGGCGATCCAATGACCAACCCGTCCATGGAGGATTTTACCGATGTATTCCAGCATCCAGCTGCCATGCACGTGGGCATTGTCAGTTTCACTATAGCTCTGGTGAATTTCAATGGTGAAGTCCTCTGGAAATCTTCAATAATTGTTGTTGATTGCAGATGTGTCTAGTAGTTCCCATTGATTTAGCTTGTAAAGCGGGGAGAATGGCGCTAGGCTTACCGCACCGTGACGTCACTGCTGGAAGATGGCAGGAGGGAGGGGCTACTATTCCGTAAAAATTCAAAAAATATCCACTGGACTTGGTTTTCAAGATTTGAAGACGTTTCGCCACCTCTCCAGGAAGCTTTCTCAATTCAAACTATATTTGGGCAAAAATGGCTGCTCCCAGACTCAGTGATCGCGATGAAAATTATTGTTTTCATTTTTTTACTGATTAACGCTAAACTCTTTAAATCACTGCGAACAGTGTAAATTTTAAGTATAAATAATGATCCATTGATTATTTCTTGCTGACCAAACTTCTCCTTTAAGGTCTCAGGCTGGATATTCTTCCTCTGAGTTTTCAGACCTCATGGTTCTATCAGTTACAGCAGGTCATTCAGAGCAAAGCAGCCCCATACCATCACACTCCCACTGTCTGTTTAACAGAGGTCCATCTCTGTTAGGCTGGTTTCACCTGAGATGGTTTTTGACTATTTTTTTGGAAACAAATTTGTCAAATAAGTCTGACGTAGCTACATTTACCTGACTGGGCTGATCAGCTGTTTCTGCCGCCCTGAAAGCAATCATCAGAATCATACTTCTCTGTCTGTACATCTCTGGATCACACTAAATAAAAGAGATTCAACTTGTCATGATCTTGCCACTGATGACCGGCTTAATTGCTTATATCATTCACCTGTCTAACTCTGCCTGGTTGATCGTTACCTCTCATCTGATCCACCTGCTCCTGCCTCTATTTAAGCTGCTTGCATCCAGTCATCAGGGCCAGATTATATTGTTCTCTACAGCCAGTGGTGATAGTGGGTTTAGAGTTCCTTGGTGTTTCTGATTTCCTGATCCTGACCTGTTCTGCCTCTCAACCACTGAGTCTGCCTGTTCCCATCTGAAGGGTTTGCCTGAACTGTCTTTGGACTCCTGCATGTTCCCTGCATTTGGGACAGTCTGGGTAGCTGGATGCTAGCTCAGTCTCTGGGCAAGGACTGAACTGTTTACACAAGGGGTGGGCAATTCCAGTGCCTGAGGGCCGCTACCCTGCAACTTTTAGATGTGTCTTTGGTTCAGCACACCTGAATCAAATAATTAGATGATTGAGAGAACTCTGGAGGAAGTGACTGCATACTAAGGAGGTAACCGAGCCATTTAATTCAGGTGTGTGGAGCAAGGATGGATCTAAAGGTTGCAGGATACCGGCCCCCAGGAACTGGAATTGCCCACCCCTGGTTTACACCATGTTAGTGACTCACATGGATAATCATCCTCCATCAGATTATGATGGTCACTAACCTGCAATCAACTCTTTATCGCCTGGTTAATTTGCTACAATCAATGGAAATGAATCTAAATCACATTTCCTTTCTTTCATCCTTTCAAACATTTTCTGATCATTTGGATGAAAACAGCTGTTGTATTTCTGTAGATCAATGAGATCCTTTAACCTACTTCACGCTGCCTGACTGGTTCTGCTTGGTTCGTGTTGCAGACCAGGGTGATTATGAAACTATGAATAATTATTTAACTAGAAGGGTGTTTCTACAGTTTCTTTTAGTTTTTTTTTCTTTTAGTTTATCTAATTAAATGGTAAAACGATCTGAAAGGTTTAAAATTTAACAAACACTAAAACCATCGCGTTTTAAATACTTTATCTCTGCTCCTGTTAGTTTCTCTCCTGTTTTTCTCTGAATCCTCGTTGATCTGAGCAGGAATCCTTCTTTCTCTGTTTGTCTCTCAGAGATGTAGCGCTGTGTTGGTGTGACTGTTGGACCATCATGCACCTCCTTCTGCTGCTGACCCTTCAGCTTCCAGCAGCCATCGGTCAGATCGATCCAGGTACGCAACCTGAAATCAAACCGCTTCCAGGATTAGAACCCACACTCAAACTGCTCCTCTGTGTGATTTTGGTCTTCAGAACATTGTCGCTATGCACTGGGCATGGAGGATGGACGAATCAGAGATGAGGACCTGACAGCATCCAGCCAATGGTACAAGACCACCGGGCCGCAGTACGCCAGGTCTGTCTGTCTTTCTTCTAACGACTAAAAACTTCTTATGATTTTATTCAAATGAAAACTCGTTACTCACCTTTTTTGCAGAATTTCGGATTTTATAAATGCAAAAATTTGAAATCTAAATAATTCATATTTTCTTATAATAAGTGCATTTTTTCTTGAATTGAGAAGCTAAGTGAGACACTTTGCCAATGGAACAAGATAATTTATTTTAAAATAAGAAAAAAACAATTGCATTGTTATCTAACCATCTTATATTAAAATAAAAAAAAACACTAATTCCTTTGGGAATCATCTTATTTACCTGCTCAAATTACTTTTCAACTCGATACCGATACTGAGTAAAATATTCAATACTTGATACCCTTTTCAATACCACAAGAATAAAAACAAAGACTCCAAAATTCAACAGAAATATTTTCATTATTAAAAAAATACAAGAAATAAATAAAAAAACAATAAAAATAATATTTTGAGGTTATATTAATATTAAGCAAGCTTGATAAAAAACGTACAAAATTAATTGTTCCTTCCTTGGCTATGCTTTGCAGACAAAACCAGTTAAACAAAAATAATTCTCGCACAGTGTTCAGAAAGTGCATTGTCCTCTATTCTGCACTTACGTACTTTTAAAAATGAGTATTGTATCCGGATACAATGTTTCAGTATCGATACTTTTTTGAGTATCGATACTTTTGACAACCCTAGCTCAAATTAAGCGGAAAGACACTTAATTTAGGACATTTTTACTTATTTTTTCTAGATTGTTTATGCAGCTTACCAAAGTTTTAGTCCAGGCGTTTCCAAACTGTGGCTCTAGGGCCGGATGTGCTGCCTCTGCTGAGGCTCCTGATTTGCTTTTCAAAATGCTAAGGGACTCAAATATGAAGGAGATTAAAACATTTCTGCTAAGACTGACACAGATAGAGCAGGGAATCTATTTACTATAAAATAAATACATTTCCCACTAAAGTAAATTTAACTAAATTCAAACAAATTTCCTATAAAATATATATTTTTTTATCTGGATGTGAGAAAAATGTGTGTCCAGGTTGTAAAGGTCCCTTCCTTAAGGAGCAGCGTAGTGCGGTGAAGCAGCAGGCTGCGTCCTACATGTAGGAGGCAGATTTCTGCTTTGATCATTTACGTTAAATTAGGCTGAGGATTTTTATTTTAGACGTTTATTGCAAAAATGAAACAGTAAAACAACATCTGGTCTCACAGTTGACCTCTATGAGAAGCTAACCAGCTTAATTATGCATTTTCTAATCAGATAATCACCTTTGGGTGTTTAAAGAAAGGATAAATTACTGCTAATATAATAGTTTAGCCATTTTAGAGGTGAAAATTCTTTGAGCGATCAATGAGAGGGAAGAGACACTTAGCTTTTTTTAAACAGGTTTAAGATGCATTGCTCACTGTCAGTTTGCAACGTTTGATCATTTAAAAAGCCGTTTTTGAAGCTTGGAGCTTCAGCGACATTAACCCAACATGTGTCCTCTGTGTCTCCAGGCTGAACTGTGAGGGAGGAGACGGTGCCTGGTGTCCTAAAGAACAGAGGGAGTCTACGGCCTCCGAGTTCCTGCAGGTTTGTTTCTGCTTCTTCAAAACAATCAATGTGAACAGCAGCTCAGGCTTTAGGTTTTAAACGATCTAGACATGGAGGGAAAGGATGATTAGCGTCTCCGTAATACTGAAACATTCCAGGATGAAGACCGTGTCTGATGTAAAGTGATGCTGCTGACAAAAACAAAAACAATCAGATCTGCAGGGAAGAAAGGAGCTGAAAATGAAACGTTATAAGGTGAAATGTTTTACCTCCCTGCATCTCTACAAATTTTTGGGTTTTCTGCTCAGATCGACCTGCGCAGACTCACCTTCCTGACGCTGGTCGGCACACAGGGCCGGTGGGGCAAAGGTCAGGGGAGGGAGTTCTCTCAAGAGTACCGTCTGAACTACAGCCGGGACGGACAGCTGTGGAAGTCCTGGAAGAACCGGCTCGGAAATGAGGTGAGCGACCCAAAAACGACGGCCACCAAATAACTGGAGTATAGTTAACTGCCAGAGCGACCCACTTAGAGCAGGAATTATATTAAAATTGTAAAAAAAAATATGCAAGCATTTTTCATTTAAATCATCGTCTGTCACTCTCCTCTATCCAGACCCCCTCAAGTGGAAAAGTTTTAGTTTCTCTGGCTTTGATTTTGTAGAAAGCCTTTTTTGGCTATATGATTATTATCAAAAAATAATCAACAGATTAATCGATTTGCAAAATAATCAGTTGCAGCCTTAGGTGAGCAGTGTGGGCGTCTAAGGCAGGAACCTCTGCAGGAGGAGAGTACAGGTTAGTGACCATGTCTATCTGGCGGAGGATGATAATGAACACGTGAGTCACTAACCTGATCTTACAGTTCAGTCCGTGCCCAGAGGATGAGGTTGGTTCCAGACAGCCGGCTGCCAACAAGACGTGGCAGACGACCCCCAGACAGTCCCAGACTATGATTTCCTGGAGGATGGAGAACCAAGCAGACGAATGAAGGAAGGAATAATCCAGGGGGCGAAGACAAAGCCAGCGTCTAAGACGTGCTCTGTAGTCAGAACCAGGAGGTCAGAGGTCTGAAGGAGTATTGAAGGGAAGTCCAGAACAGAGTCGCGAAACAGTTCCAGGTTTGATTCACAGGCAGGCAGAAATCTGGGGAGAGGTCAGGCAAAAAGATCAGACAGGCAGGGTCAGAGGTCCAGGCAGAACAGGTCAGGATCAGGAACTCTATCCAAAGGCTTGAATTATCTGGCACTGATGACTGGGAGTAACCTGACTCCGCCAGATGCATTTGCTCCGCATATCCATCTGGAAACCTTCCATTGAAGTAATTTTGGGAAGGGGTGAAAATACTGGTTAGCTGATTGGCCTATGTTGGTGATAAACGGGCCAAATAAACCAATCAGATCAACGAAGCATATGACGCACTAAAAGCCAGGCTACTCTTGCCAAAACCAGTCGGGAGAAGAGCAAAAGCATGTTTTCCTCTGAGAAAAGCCTCCAGAGCAGTGTTCTGCTCTTCTTTCAGTGAAGAAATAATCTGTAATTCCGATAAAACTTGCTCGATAGCCACGCTAACGCTAGTTTCATCGGTTGAAGCCGCCATGTTCTTTAGACTGAACTGTCGCGCTTCTCGTTGCGTCACACCTCAACCCGCCTCAAAGCCAACACTGATTGGACGTTCGTTTGGTGAACGGCTCCAAATTTTCTTTAACGGAGAGTCTCCAGACTGATCTGCGAGTGAAACCTTGAAAGCTCGCGAGATCAGGATGTTCTCACGAGGCTAGACTGGGAGTAGGCAGGTTAAATAGCGGCTGAAGTTGGTGGATCACATGAGCAGGTAATGAGAACTAGGCGGAGCTTGGCACGTTAATGGAACTAGATCATGACAAGTGGTTTTAGAGTTCAAACTGGGTCCCTGATTCCTGCTCATCAGTCACTTTCTGGCCTCCAGGGTTCAAAATGTTCCTCATTGTTTATTTTAGACAAGAAATAAGGACACAACTTTATTGTTGGTCCAGATTATCCAGTATTGAACTAATTGTGGTTCTAAAGGCTCTAAAAGGTTTTTTTCTAATAGATTCACACAGATTTCTAAGCCTGATTCTGCCTCAGTTCTGGCTATTATAGATACGGCATTCCTTCAGCTGTGGCCTCTGATCTATTTAAACATGCAGCTGTTAATCCTTTGATAATAAGGTTTGTTTGAGATCGATCTTGAAATTTCTACTTGCTGGAAAAAAATCATGAGTGAAAACAGTTTATACCCACCTTCATGTATATGTGTGTTTTTTATTCCATTGGTTTTAATCATATTTATCCCATGAAGGTTTTTTTTTTATAATTTTTTTTTTATCAACATGCTTTACATGAACGACTCTGGAATTTGAGCTTTGATTCTAGATCTCGCGGCTAGTTTTAAATTTCCGATACAATATTGATATTGCAGTTTGAGAAATTTGCCGATACCGATATACATTTTTTGTTTGTTTGTTTGTTTCATGTGTTGTCATTCATGGAGTGAAATCATATACAATCATTGATGATGATGATGATGATGATGATGATGATGATGATGATGATGATGATATTTCTTCTAATTTTAGGTTCTTCTGTGTCTTAAAAACACAAAAATCAGTTTTAACTTTGTCCATAATCTTTAATCTGTAACATTTCTGTCGTATAGATCTAACAGATGTAGATAAAAAGTAAATCAGCTTTCTGTCTGAGTGAATGCCCAGCTGTCAGATCAGTGAACTGTCCTTTATTGTGGACGTTTCCTCCCCAGATCAGCCTCAGATGTCTTTCCCTCATATTTCCACTCAGGTCCTGGAAGGAAACAAGGACACCTACGGCGTTTCTTCCAACGACCTGAAGCCGGCCATCATCGCGCGTTTCGTCCGCGTCATCCCTGTCAGCCGGGCCACCACGGTGTGCATGAGGGTGGAGCTTTACGGATGTCCCTGGGAAGGTACCCGACCAGTTGGACACATTTTGGAGCTTTGAACTCCAGAACCAGACCTCCAGAGTTCTGCCTGTTTTCAGACCCGACCGTCCTCTAACAAACCCAAAGTAAAGGTTCTAAAGGACCTCCTCGGTGGAGGTCATTTAGACCAGGACGTCCCTGGAGGACGGACTGTGGACGCCACTGGTTTAGACACTATAGAGCATTTTAGACGGTTCTTCGTGGATATCTTTAAATAATGTAATTCTATGGAGCTAAATTAGGGCCATAAAGTTGGTTTAAAATAATAATTTGAACCCAAAAAAATTTTTTCTCAAATAAAATGTATACCTGAAATAGTTTGTCCAAAACCACAAAAAAAATAACGTGAAAAATTTTTCACTTGAACATAAGTTTGCTCAAAACAAAAAAAAACTTCAGAAAAACTGCCTCTCAGATTCAAGATTTTTGCAGTTTTTTTCTCCCAGTTAAACTTTTGTCCCTTTAGCTCCGTACAATCTGAAGCAGAACCCTGCAGGTTTCCTCCTCTGTTGTCTCCAGATGGCCTGATCTCCTACAGCGCTCCAGAGGGACAGCTCATGGCGTTACCTGGGTATCCCCACATCAGTCTCAATGACTCCACGTATGACGGCGTCCGTGAGAAGCGGTGAGTCTCCTTAGACAGCAAAGGGATCCAGTTTCTCCGTTCCTCCTGCCTCACAGTCGTCTCTCCTCAAAGGAGGCTGCTCGGAGGCCTGGGTCAGCTGACGGACGGCGTGACGGGACTGGACAACTTCCTGAGGACCCACCAGAACAACGTGTGGTTAGGGTACGACTACCTGGGCTGGAGGAACGACACGCCGGGGACTCAGGGATACGTGGAGATGGAGTTTGTCTTTGACAAACGGAGGAACTTTACCTACATGAAGGTTTGTAACGTGACCCGTCTTTTCAGATTAAAGTTGTTTTCATCATGTTCCATCCATAAAACTGGTAGAGATCTGGCAGCTATTAATGCTCCTCTTAGAGAAGGAAATAATAACCAAGTGAAGAGGTTGCACAAATGTTGTTAAAACTGTTTTTGCCTCAGATTTTTAAACTAACCAGGATTCAATAAATTCTATTCAGTTTATTTCTATAGCGCCAAATCACAACACATGTCATCACAAGGCACTTTACAGTTCACCAGATCATCCAGTCAGATTGTGTTTTTTTAAAGTTTTCTATCTAAGGAAAACCAGCTGATTGCATCGACTCATTGACTCTTCAGCAATCCCTCACACTAAGCATGCTTGTAGCGACAGTGGAGAGGAAAAACTCCCTTTGAACAGGAAGAAACCTCCAGCAGAACCAGGCTCAGTGTGAGCGGCCATCTGCTGAGGCCGACTGGGGTTCAAGGAGACAGAAGCAGACATAGAAAAAGAAGCATAGATACAAAAGGCAACTGTCAACCAGCTCCACAGGCGGCCCCGTCCAGGAAACACACAGCCAGGCAGACGAGCTCCGAGCCAGCTCCCATGTCAGAGGATGAAGAGAGCACAGTCAAAACCTGTTTATCCCTTTAGTTTGTATGAAAAATAGACTTTAAACTACCTCAACGAGCGTGTATCCCTTTAGTCATGTACAAAATAAACTATTTAATAACTTTTTTTTTTTTTAAGTGTATTGCGATCTGACTTTAAAAATTTTTTTTTACATATGACTAAAGGGATTAACGTCCGTTGAGATAGTTTAAAGTCTATTTTTCATACAAAACAATCTAGTTGATGATCAGATAAAAATGAACCTGGTCCTTGGATGTCTCCTTACCGTCCATTAAGATGTGTCTCCTCCGTCTATATCTTCAACTCAGCTGATGTTTTTCCACCTTTTCCCAGATTCTCTTTTACTCACCGTTGTTTCTGAACTGATCCAGGTCCACAGTAACAACATGTTCACCCGCGGCGTGAAGATCTTCTCCTCCGTGTCCTGTTGGTTTAAGCCCCACCTCACCGCCAGCTGGGAGCCAGAGCCGGTTTCTTTCGCCACCATTTTGGACGACAGGAACCCGAGCGCCCGTTATGTTACGGTGCCGCTGAACTGCCGCACCGCCAGGTCCATCCGCTGCCGTTTCTACTATGCAGACGTTTGGATGATGTTCAGCGAGATCTCCTTTCAGTCAGGTAATAAACTGGAAGCGCTGGCGTACCTCAGGGCTGCGTGTTTAGTCCTCCACTTTTTACTGATTTACCACAAAGTTAAACATATGTTTTTTCTTTTTCCGTACTAGAAGACATCATACTTCCAACACAACCACCCATGATGAGGACCTCTGCTCCAGGAGATGAGGAAAGCACCATGACACCTTCACCAAAGCCCAGCAATAATACGGGTAAAACCACTCGCCTCCGTCCTTTAGGCACCTCATTCTCCCAGATGCAGAAACCTTCATGTTTCTTCAGCAGCCGCTCCATCAAACAGCAGCACTTCAGATGAAGGGAACACGCCCATCCTCATCGGCTGCCTGGTGACCATCATCCTCCTGTTGGTCATCATCATCTTCCTCATCCTGTGGTGCCAGTGTGTTTGCAAGGTGCTGGAAAAGGTAGATGAGGAATGAAAGCATATTGATCAAGCGTTGATCTGTTTATTATTTCACGCAGATCTTACGAAATTGAAACTTTACTTAATGTTTCTGCTCCAGGCTCCTCGTCAGATTCCAGACGAGGAGATGACGGTTCGGCTGTCGTCCTGCAGCGACACCATAATCCTGCAGACCCCCCCGGTGCCTCCACGGTCCAGGCATCCTCCTGCAGGTAGAGTTTTACTTTAAATTAATCATATCTTTATCTTCAGAGTGAAAATATCTTTAGACTCAGAGCGAAAAGCTTGCATAAATCTACGTGACCTGGCCTTTAAGCCTGATATTTGTTATGTTCTGAGCAGAAAGAGCAAACAGCTACATCATGTTTCTCACTGAAAAACAGATCTTTTCCTCCTCAGAGGCCTGATGTAGCCATGAGATGAGCCGTAATTGTTTTAACGGCCATCAGTGGAAACCTCTGGAGCTCAAATGGAGGAAATATTTGTCGGCAGAAGGGGAACGACACAGAAGTCATCTCTGTGACGGGGCCTCCGTCTGTCAGGACAAACGGTTTTCCAGCTGCTGGCTCCACTGCTCCCGAGGCTGGATGCAGATCCAGAGTGCTGACAGATGCATGTGGTCTTTATCTGCAGCAGCCTGACCAGCCGCTGATCCGCGGCTCATTCAGGAAGCCATAACAGTGACTGGAGGCCATGTTTGGCTCATAAATGGGCTGATGGGTGGAGCTTCCTCCCTCTGCAGGAAAGCTTGTATGCTTACTTCAATGTTCCCTCAGGGGGGGTGTCAGTTTTTGGGGGTGATGACATCTTTATCTAGATGGGATATCTGGATTCAGCCCAGTGGCTCACATGCTCTGCAGTTTGCAGGAGATAAACGTTTTCGAGGTTTTCCTTCAAATAGACTCAGGGACGTTAATTAGGGGACATCTGGTCTGATGAAGCTCAGGTGGAAGGGATTCACTGCATTGACTGTCGTCGAATTTGGAGGAAAAAAGGTTGACGTTTGCAGCTTTGATGACATCATCCTGCCTGTGAGGAATGGAGGTGGAAGCAGAACGGATGGTTTCAGGAGGAAAGAAGAGGAGAAATATGATCACCAACCTTTAGCATAGCAACGAGGCAGCTCTGAAGGAAGTCCGTGTTTCTTGCTGGCCGTCAGAAAGTGAGCGGCGAGGGTCTGTGAGAAGGAGGTGGTCTGTCGGCCCAATAGAGCGGTTCTATTGGGCCGACAGTCCAGAGACCCATGGTGGGAAGTTTATGGAGGAAACCCCCCAAATATTAACTCTAGTTGTTTAAAAACCGTGCTTCCCCAAAAATGGGGGAAATGTAGATAAATCTCAGGATTTCTAAAGAGTAAATTCAATGACAACAAAAACTTCATCCCGTCTTTTGTGAGGCTCATCTGTTGCAAACCAAAGCCTCGTTTGCAATGAAAGAAGTAATCAGACGAATCAAAATGTTTATTTCTCCAGTAGACGTATAAATCCTGGTGTTTAAAACCGTTTTTGTAGAAGTGAGAGGATCAATTCAAGCTTTTTACTCCAGTAAAAGTTTAAAAGTACCATTTTTAACACTACTTAAAGTATAAAAGTAATGCAGGAAAAACTCTTTTACTGCTCTGCTCTATTAAAGGAACATTTTTCTACAATTCTGGATGAAAACTTCTTTAGACTTTATTTTCTTAGTTTTATAACTAATGGTAAAAGTGTCACATTTCACTTTGCATGATCTTGAAATTTTGAAAATTTATTTTGGTTTGTGGTGAACAACAAGTTGGGGCAGCACCACAAAGAAATGAATTGATTGGATGAAACTAATTATTTTGATGGATTTTAATTTTTTTCAAATACCAACAGCTTAAATGAAACAAAACTAACAAGCAGATTTTTAAAATGTGAGTAGTTGAAAGTGAAATGAATCCAGTAAAGTATAGATAGCCAAAAGGTCTACTTAAGTAAGGAAAGGAATTATTTGGACTTTTTTATTTGACGCCTCAGGAAGTAATCAGAAAAAAACGACCAAATAGCCTCATTTCCAACTGTCACATTTTGTTAATCTAAACAAAAATCAAATTTCTCCATTTATTCAATTTCTAAAGCAGATTCAGGCGTCTAATAAAGACCAAATCTAACATCCAGACATCTTTGGATGAGTTTTTATACTTTAGTTTACTCTCATGTATACATTTTGTAACCCCAACACTGCAAAAAATGTAAATCTAAATAAGTCATTTGTTCTTAAAATAAGTGCATTTTATCCTGAATTGAGGAGATAAATGAGACACTTTGCCAATGGAACATGACAATTTACATTTGAAGTAAGAAAAATCAATTGCATTGTCTTATTTCAAGTGCATGTTATCTAATTAACTTATTTTAAGTGTAAAAATACTCATTCCATTGGCATACTATCTTATTTACCTGGTCAAATTAAGGGTAAATACGCTTAATTTAAGACATTTTTACTTAATTTCAGATTGTTTATGCAGTGAATTAAACATTAAAACTATTAACGTTTCTGCTAATGTCTTCTGGAAGGATTTTTCATTTTGAGTATTAAAGGTTGTAGAATAAACTTCCCATGTTTTCATAAATCCATCAGGAAGTTTCTAATTCTGGAAAATGCTGCAGTTTCCTTAAAAAGTTCATTAAATGTCTGAAAGATTCCCTAAAAACATCATTTCCTCCTCTGATAATCTGGTCCTCAGGTCCAACCAACACTGATCCGCACTATGAGAGGGTCTTCCTGCTGGACCCGCAGTACCAGAACCCGGCGGTTCTGAGGAACAAGCTGCCGGAGCTGTCGCAGAGCGCCGAGGCCTCAGGTAAACCTGCCCACATGGAGCAGTCACCTGGAAACGATTGTTTGAACTCCACCAGCAGAACCACAACCAGTAATCCACTTTAAACTGGATCCCAGCAGGATGTCGATGGGATTTTTAGGTTTTCCTACAGTTTTTAGGGAATTGACTGGTTTATTCAGTTTTTGCTAACAGATTGTTTGGCTCATCCAGTCTCATCTAATAGAACCAGGCGTTTAGTTCTGGTCTTCATTTACCAGATATTTTAGAAATATAAGAGGTAAATGAATAAATCTGCTGAAATTATTCTCCTTAATGAAGCTCAAACCAAACTAAACACATCCTGCTCCACTTCGCCCCCTGGTGGCCGTTAAAGGAGAGCATCAGGGTTATTATCACCTCCTCTTGAGCCTGACTGTAGATACGTCCTTCATCAGTCCCTCTGTGGTTCTGTCTGTCTCCCTGTCCTCGTCTCCCAGCATGCCCATTCATGCTGCAGTGTTTCTCTCCTTTTCCTCCCAGCTCTCTCTGCCTCTTTCCGTGTCTCCTCTTCCTCCAGCGCTCTTCCTCGGTAACCCTCTCTATGACCTCTTCCTGCTGACTTCCTGTCACGAGACGCCAGGATGGCTTCGCGGTAAGAGATGAAAGGTGTGACGTTTTGATCAGAGGACAGAGAATCCAGAATATCGCCTCAGAACTTCACACTGCAAAAAAATCTAGAAATAAGTCAAGATTACTTAAATTAAGTGTATTTACACTTAATTTGAGTAGGTATGTAAGAGGATTTGCCAATGGAATAAGTATTTTTACTCTGAAAATAAGATAATTAGATAAAATGCACTTAAAATAAGACATTGCAATTGTTTTTTCTTAATTTAAATCAAAATTGTCTTGTTCCATTGGCAAAGTGTCTCACTTACCTCCTCAATCCAAGAAAAAATGCACTTAATTTAAGCAAAACTGACTTATTAAGATTTACATTTTTTGCAGTGCAACCAGCAGAGAGTCTGACTCATTAACGAGTCGTCAGGCCACACTTTGATACCTCATTATTAGATTTTGCTACCATGGTTTTATTTCTTTATTCATATTTTACTGTAACAATGTTTCTATAATTGAGCTCTGACAGTTTTGTTAGCATCACTGATGCCTCCCATCACCTTGTTTACATGAATACTTCTATTAATTAATATGTTTTTATGTTTTCAATCATAGATTCATTCTGTTGCAGGTTTATTCTAATTTTATTAAATAATCTATAACGAGAGGTTTAACCTTAACTGGTTCTGCTGCTGAACTAAACAAAGCCTGTTATCATCTCGCAGCTTGTGGGGGGGGCTACGCCGAGCCCGACATCACCCAGTGCACCCCCCACCAGTCCTTCAACAGCAACGCGCCGCACTACGCAGAGACCGACATCGTCCGGCTGCAGGGCGTCACCGGCAGCAACATGTACGCCGTCCCGGCGCTGACCGTGGACTCGCTGACCAGGAAGGACATCTCCGCCGCCGAGTTCCCGCGCCATCAGCTGATCTTCAGGGAGAAGCTGGGGGAGGGCCAGTTTGGAGAGGTGAGGGACGGGTTCAGCATCTCTGGAGGTCCTCAGGAAGAAGATTCCTGCTCATCAGCTGCTGCTCTTCTCTGCAGGTCCATCTGTGTGAGGCGGAGGGACTCCCAGAGTTCCTGGGGGAAGGATCGCCCCTCCCTGACAGAGACGGACGCTCGGTGCTGGTGGCGGTGAAACAGCTGAGGGCCGACGCTACGAGTCAGGCCAGGTGAGCTGCTTCATCATCATCAGATTATAGGATGGATTTAACCCAAACCAGGCTGATCAGAGCAGACAAACATCTGATACGTCTCAGTAAAGTAGAATTTAATTCATTTTAATCATTCTATTAAAATACTTCAAGTTTATGAATGAATAGTTTTACTAGTTTTACTGTGATGCAGCAAAGGCTTTTGGGTCTTATATCGTAGAGATATATTGCTAATTGGTCAGAATATTAATACCGTTTAAAGACGCCGGTCCAGATTTTCATATCAGTGCATCCCTGGTTCTGATAGGACATCAGAACCATTATAGAAGGTTGTTTCTTCATGAGCCTGATGATGGCGCATAATCCTAAGAAAGAAGTAACTAGTTTACATGTAAAGTCAATGGTTTACCTGCATCAAGGTGCAGCAAACGTGCCACATCAACCAATCAGGAGCTGGCAGGGAGTCAGACACAGCACTGCTGATGCAGAGCGCTATGATCACTCCTCTGAAACAGTTTATTAATGCCTAAAGTAACTTAGAATGTAGAAATCTGCCGACAAAAGATGCTTGCTTTAATTATTCTGGTGCCTGCAGTTTGGATTACGTATATAAAAAACGCCTTCCAGCCGCTGCAAATAGTAGCGGAAAACCATGAAGAAGCAAGCGGGCCTGAGGCAGCTGCTGCTGGGGATTCCCAGTGACAGCGCAGCGCCGGTATGTGGGGTCTGAGCGGCTCCCACAGAGAAATAATCTTTGAAGGCAGGATGGTAATCTGGATGAACTGACTGCACAGACCATGTTTTCAGGAGGACTTTCTCACTTCAACAGAGATTCTAACTACTTTCTACCCGCTGATCATAGCTAATATAGCTGCCATTGTTCCAGGCAGAGAAAGGATAGAGTAGCTCCGCCCACCGCGCATCAGACCCACTTTACCACCGCGCAGCTAGAGCAGCAAAGACGCTTCAGCTGCACGTCAGAACTAACCTGAGTGAAGTTGGCCCCCCCACCTTCTTCAAATCAGACGAAATGGGTGTCAATTAACTCGGCTCCGTTTGTGCAGCAAAAACAGATGTTAACTGACCTTTAAAGACCTCTACAAAATATTATTAATATCATTGAAATGATAGCAGTACAAATGAAAATTGCCATACAAAAATATAAAATTTTAGAATTAATTTTACATATAAAATATTTAAAATAAATATATTAAAAATTTTAAAATGCATATTTTAAAGAATATGCATTTTTTGTACTGCTATCATTTTAATGATAATAATAATTGTTTGTGGAAGCAGCATCAAAGGTCAGTGAACATTTGTTCATTCTGAAACTCTGAATTTCATATAAATTATAAGTTGCTAACCTATGATTATATAATTTTGATAGCGGCACAAACGAAAATTTTTGCTGCACAAACGTTTTACATTAATTTTGTCTGATTTGAAGAAGGTGGGGGGGGCAACTTCACTCAGGTTCAGAACTTAACTTGGACAAGCATCAAAAATGAAGCAGTGTGTGCGTTTTAGCTGCTCCTGCTGCGTGAGGTCTAAACATAGCATGAGATTGGAAAGTTTAGTGGAAGGAAAAACTGGCCTAGAATCAAACTGCACAGTAGGGCTGACTTCAGCTTGGTGAAGCATCACTTCTTCTAGAGTTTTGGGGAGAATCAGAACAGATCAAACAACAGAACCTTTTCAGGACTACAGCTGCAGAACGTCTTTAAAAAAATCTCCTGAAATGCTTTCAAGATGCAGAGATTAAAGCAAAAGGAGATCAGACCAACTGATCACATCAGTGTCTGACCAGAGGAGCAAAAACCAACTTTAGATACAAACTGAAATATTTCCCTCTCTAATGAATCTCTGTCATTTCTGAGTCACAGTTTATAAACACATTTTCTAAAATCTGAAACATTTAAATAATAATATTTTATAATTTATGGACTGCTTCCTGCTTCTGTTCTGAGTTTAGGTTCTGACTGAAGACAATAAGCTCTGAATATGCCTCCTCTGTCCTCCTCTCTCTCCTCCTCCCCTGTCCTCCTCCTCTGTCCTCCTCTGTGTCCGTCCCTCAGGAACGACTTCCTAAAGGAGATAAAGATCATGTCCCGTCTGGACGACCCAAACATCATCCGGCTGCTCTGCGTCTGCGTCTCCTCCGACCCGCTCTGCATGGTGACGGAGTACATGGAGAACGGAGACCTGAACATGTTCCTGTCTCAGCGGGAGATCGAGAGCACGCTGACGCACGCCAACAACATCCCCTCCGTCAGGTGGCCCCTCCTCCTCCGGTCGTTATGTCCAACCTTCTGTCCTTCCTCCTCCTCACCCCTGACTCTCTCCCTTCCCTGCAGCCTGTCGGACCTCCTCCACATGGCGGTGCAGATCTCCTCTGGGATGAGGTACCTGGCGTCTCTGAACTTCGTGCACAGGGACCTGGCCACCAGGAACTGCCTGCTGGACCGCCGCCTCACCATCAAGATCGCCGACTTTGGGATGAGCAGGAACCTTTACAGCAGCGACTACTACCGGATCCAGGGCCGGGCCGTGCTGCCCATCCGATGGATGGCCTGGGAGAGCATCCTACTGGTGAGGAGGGGGGGGGGGGCATCCTCCATCCTCTATAGATCAGGAATTAGCACCTGTCCTCAGATCACTTTTTTTTTTTTTTTTTTAAACAATCAGAGCAGAAACAATCCTTCAAATATCACTAATTATCTTTTTAATAGTTTCTACATTGTTTAAACAAGTAAAACTTGTTTTTGAAAGATGAATGCAGTTTGTTCATTTCCTTCCAGATGTTCCTCCATGTTCCTACTTGTGGTGCAGATAGTAATGTGGAAAATCCTCTGAAAGGAAAACTTTATTCAAAGAATCCAAAATCCTGTTAAATAGCTGATCAGAAAAACCAATGAGGAACAAAGACAGATTGGAGGCATTTAAATTACTGAAAAATGAGCAAATCTGTGCTGAAAATATTTCTTGTACATCTGGTGCATCAACTTAAGCATATTTAGTTACTGAAAAGAGGACTAGAAACTAAAAGATGCATGAAATAAAAATTCTTCAGCAGAAAATAACTTTAGGTAAAGTGAAAATTTCTGAAAAGAAAATTATTTAAGTAAAAGTGAAAAAAATACTTGGGAAAGTAAAAGTATTTTTGTAGATAGAAAGAAGTAAAAGAAACCTTTTCTCTGTTCGTCTCTTTGGGTAAAATCAATGGAGGTAAAATTAGTTGAAAAGCTGCTTTAGAAAACCTGGAATTCAAACATTTCTGTCCAGAAGAACTCAGAGTAACACAATAGCTGTGTTGTATAACACCATGCATCCTCTACCGTGCTTTTGCAGAGAAAACTAGAAGTTCTTTCTGTAAGAAAACAGTGAAATATGTTCACTGTCTGAGAGGGAAACTTAATAACTACAATTCATTGGGTCCAAATCACCTACAAGCTAAAACTCTACTTTCCCACCAATAAAGCAGAATGCTTTAGTGGTGATTTTGGTTGATTACATATTTAGAATTAAATATAATAATAAAGAAATATAGCAATAAATATAGAAATAAGGATCTCATACATTTAGAGAAACTAATGGATGAAATAGATTTCTTGTTTACAGAAATAAAACCATTTACAATCAGTTCTGGTCATATTTTAATTTGTAGCAAATAAAAATGACTCAGATTATTGAGAATAGTGAAAATATTTTTTAAAGTCTTGATTAAATAAAAATACTGAGTAAAGTACAGATCTTTAATAACATGTTGCTGCAGATCAGCTGAAATCTCAAGAAATCGCAAGTTATTTTGCATTAAAGGACTGCCTGCCGCCCTGTGATTGGTCCGTCCGACCACAGAGTATTGAGCCTTACTGGCTGACTAACAGCCTGCGTGAACAACGAATCTCTCCAAAATAAAAGCGCTGCCATTATTTTTTTTCACTCCCTTCATTGTTAAATTTAAGTTATATTTTTAGTATTTTGCAAGAAAAATCAACAATCTTATCAGTTTAAATATTTTACATTTTCTTTCATTTGTTTACTCTAGGTTTGTTTTTTTATTCTTATTATTTCATCATATCCAGCTCAAACATTACACTCAAATTTTTTTTATTTATTTATTCTTGTAGAAAACATTTATGTTGCTCTTATAAAAAAATCTTTTCATTTATGGTTCTATATTTTGTTTATGAATCTATTCTTCAGTCCGCACTAATCAGTTTCTGTCAGTCAATAGTCTGATAACTGTGAGCTGGTTCAGCCCCCAGTGGATGAATAAAGGTTCAATAAGGAAACTTATTGATAAGGAAGCTTCCTTCCTGTTAATGAAGTTGGTTGAATTATTATGAATCTGCTTTTTTTCAATATATAATGGGTGAATTTTTAAACATTCACCGTCATCCATCTAACCTAAGTCTGGTAAAAAGCCACAGCCAGGAGGAATCTGACATATCAGAGAAAAATCAGCTGCTGATGAAATCATGAATCTAAACTCAGCAACACATTTCTGCTGCATTCAGAACTAAAGTTTGTTCTCCTGAAATGAGAAGTTCTGAAGGTTCTCCTGGTTCCTCCAGGGTAAGTTCACCACTGCCAGTGACGTGTGGGCGTTTGGCGTGACGCTGTGGGAGATCTTCACTCTGTGTAAGGAGCAGCCCTACAGCCTGCTGTCGGACGAACAGGTCATCGAGAACTCCGGCGAGTTCTTCCGGAACCAGGGCCGACAGGTGAGACGGATCCGCTCAGAACGGAGCCACATTCTTTCTCTAAAGAGCTCTGATGCAGGGGCGGATTTTCCATTACGCAAAACTAGGCGGGTGCCCAGGGCCCCGAGTTCCTGGGGGCCCCATAAACCTCCTTTTACATGTATGGTACTACAGGTATTACTCATTTATGGACATTAATTATGTTTTTGATAAAAATCGTTTCTCTAAAATGCCATCAGAACCAGCGGGGGCTGGTGGAGTTTTCTCCAGGGGGCGCTATAAATCCAAAATAGATTTACACCAAAAACCAATCAAATGTATACTAAGTTTTCACACTAGTATATTTATATGAATGCAAACAACAAAAAACAATACAAAAACACTTTATAAAAACAAAACATAATTTCATGTCCAGGTTTACTTTTTGTACATAAATCTTTCCCTTCTGAGGCTGTGAAAGTAAATCTGTGTTTCCATGCTCCAATATGGCGTCACAAAGCTAAAAAACATAATGTACCAGTTTAATAAAGGAGAAGCGTTTTATATATTTTTAATATATAAAAACTATTTACTTTCTGAGAATGTGTTTATTTAAGAGCAGCTATGCAAATGAACAAAGTTTTAGAAAAAGTAGATTATATTCTATTATTTTCCATGTGAATCCCAGATTGTTCATTATTTTTCTAAAGAGTGCTTTAAATCAGTCCTAGCTGTCTTTCTCCATGCTGGCTCAGATCCTGACTAGGGATGCACGATATAATCGGCCCCCTATCGGTATCGGCCTTAAAACTGAATATCGGACATCGGCCACCCCACCGATATTTAACCCGATATTTGATCAGCTTCTGAGTTTCTAAAGTCGGAAAAAAAAAAATATACTACTCCTTCTTCTTCCTCCAAAACTTCTGTTTTACAGACTTAAAAACTTCTAAAGACGAGGGTAAAAATATTGATACATTAAAATATCCCAATATCTTCATATGCTGATATATTGCCATTTAAAAACACCATATCAATCTCTTTTACTAATGAAATATTGCTATATGTCATCATTATGCTACGAAATCCCCCGAAAATTCACGAAATTTTGCCATATTTTTATATGTTGATATATTGACGCGGTATCGATCTATTTTACTAACAAAATCTCACAAGAATTTGCAAAATATCACGAGAGTTTGTAACAGAACGATGAAATTTCACCAGATTTTGAAAGTAAAATAGATCGATACCGCGTTTATAAAAATCTAATATCAGCATATGAAAATATATTTGAGTATATTATTTTTCAAAGTGTCAGAAATGGATAACAAAACTGCTATTTTCAATGACTACTTATTTTTGTCCAGCTTTAACATCGGTATCGATATCGGTTATCGGCTACATGAGTTTTAAAATATCGGCATATTGGATATCGGCCAAAATCCCAATATCGTGCATCCCTAATCCTGACCTTTGAAAAAGGAGGCAGGGAAAGCAGAATACAGTGTTAGCAGTTAGCGTAGCCTTGTAGCCAAAGCAGGTCCTGGAAAAGGACGTTTCTTGCAGCGTTTCTTTCTCTCTCTCTCTGATGTGTCTCTTACTCCTGCGACGCGACCTGTCCATCATCACAAAACCTCTGCACTGTGGCAGGGAGGTGGTGAGAAAATACGCTTCATGTAAGTTTGGATCACACCAGAGCTGCGCCCTGAGATCTCCTCTCCTTCTGTATTGCAGAGGATCTCCTGCGCATGGACAACTTTTAACGAGTCAACAGGCAAAGATTTTTGCGCCCTAGGGCGGAAATACGTCACCATACGGATGAAAAATTTAGCTTTGCTAGTCATGAAAGATTAAATATGTATCTTGCACATCTAAGAAATCAATATGAATGACTTAATCAGGGTCATTAGGTGGGTGGGGTGGCGCCCTAGCGTCCTCTATTAGCCAGCTGCCACTGATCTGAACATTTATAATATTAAAGGTATACTATGCAACCGGTGTTGATTTTCCAGCGAGGCTCCCCCCAGAGGGCGAAAGTAAAAGTGCACTGTCGTAAATATGCTCAGCTGTTCTCCAGGCGCGGCTGTTTTGAGCTTAGCAGACAGGCGAACGCAACCAATCACCATGTCTACTGCGGTAGAGAGCCCTTTTCCTATTTCCTGCCTGCTCCGACATGGGCTTTTGCTGTTTTCTCGTTGGTTCCGCGATGATCACTACACAAATATCGCCACTGCGCTAGCAACGAGCATGCCTTTCACTGGGGGGTGTAGCAGTTCTCGCCGTAAAGCAAGACCGACTCTCGTGATGCACGAGACTTCTGAGCCTGTGGGTGCGGGCCGAGGGCTCCTGCAATTGCAAGTACGGTATTTCCCCTACAGACCACCAGGGCGGCCGAGAATACCTTTGTTCGACCTGAAATGACTCATTTAATCATCTAAAATGTTATGGAACACATTAATTAACTGAAAAATGTTGCATAGTGTGCCTTTAAGTGTCGTCTCAATTCAGAGGGCCCCAGGTACGTCTTAGCCTAGGGCTCCAAATTTCCTAAATCCGCCCCTGCTCTGATGTGAGAGGTGTTCTGCATTTGACCAGAAGGGGGAGCTGTTGTCCATTTTTTTTTTCCACTGAAGTGTGTCCCTGTGATCTCTGACCCAGATCTTCCTGTACGCCCCCCCTCTCTGCCCGCCGTCTCTCTTTGAGCTGATGATGCGCTGCTGGAGCCGGAACATCTCGGACCGACCCACCTTTGAGGGACTTTACCAAGCCCTGAGGCCCCACGTTAACCAGTGAGCGCTCCGCCTTCCCCCAGCTGCTGGGACTCCTGCAGGGGGACGGACATGGACATGATGGACCCGGGTTGTTCTGAGAACCGGGCCAGCTGAGGTCCGATCCGACGGAGGAGGCGGACGGAGGAGGAACATTCAGTCTGTGGTGAACTTCACAGCTTCATCTTCTCCTAAAGGCCCAGAGGAACTTTAATCATTTCTATTGTGCGCCAGATGTTGCCTGAAACCCCACTTCCTTCCTGTCCTTGGTTTCCATGGAGACCAGAAAGCAGACAGACTTCAGTAGTCGGTAGTTTTTTCCGTCTGGGGTTCTAGTTGTTGTTGTAAAGCACTGTCTGTGTCTCAGTTATTCGTGTTCTAAGATAATAACCCACACTGGAGTAAAGTCAAAGTGTAGCGTAGAGTTTTTCTTTTTCAGGTTTTATTTTGTCTTTTCCTGGTTTGACATGTTTGGTCGTTTTTAGCTTCCTGTCTTCGTCCCGTAATCCTGGAACAAAAACCACTCCTGCTGCCAAAGACAATTCAAGATCCTAAATTAATATTAGAAGATTTTTTTACAATGTTTAGATACAAACTGTTGGAAATAATCAGAAAATGTTCACGATTTTTGGTCCCTCATTTTAGAAAGTTAAACTTCCATAGATCTGTTACACATAGAGTGAAACATCCAGAACACGGAGACCGAAAGCCTCTACTTTATATCTCTATTTATGGGCCATATTTTGCTCCTGAGGCCCGGATAACTTTCCCTGCTGAGTTTGGACGATACCACAGCTCTTAAGGCGGGACTTACGCAAACAAAAATGGCAGCAACCATAACATTCAGGAACTTATGTTCCTGGACAGCGTCCTCCGCCAGAATGTCAATGAGAGCCTCGGTTTCAGCATCATCCCAGGTCGCACCACGCTCTTTTGATGCCATCTATTGTTAAGCTGATAAGAAGCTAACTTTGTGAACGGTGCAGCAATCTGTGACGAAAAACCTGCGAAATGAGTCACCTGACTGTTAAAGGAATAGTACACCCAAAACATGATTAGCCTTCATTTTCTACTCACCCCCATGCTGAACAACACTCTGGAGTACTTTTTTGATATCTCAAATGCATCTGGAGATCTGGGAGGCTTCTTGCTGTCTGCTGACATTCAAATAATGGAGGTCTATGGCGCTCGAGACAGAAAGGTCCATAAAAGTCCACAAAAAACGTGTCAATATTCCTCCATACTGCTCGTCCAATGTATTCCAAGTGTCCTGAGTGGGTAGCATCCAGAATTTACTCGAAACGAAGTCATTTACAATGTTTTTAGAGCATAAACAGTAGTGTATAGGATTTCCTGAAAGCGCGCACATGCGCGATCACGACGCTACGGAAGCCGGCAGACCAAACCAGCGCATTCAGCTCGGCAAAGAACTCATGCTCTTCCTCAACACTGAAGTCCTCAGACATTTTTCTTTCGTTGTTTCTTTCTTTGCACAGGTAAACGGCACATTTCTTCTTCTACGCTTGCATTATTGGCAGAGCAGACGCTGAATGCGCACTTTCATCTGGTTTGGTCTGCTGGCTTCCGTAGCGTCGTGATCGCGCATGTGCGCGCTTTCAGGAAATCCTATACACTACTGTTTATGCTCTAAAAACATTCTAAATGACTTCGTTTCGAGTAAATTCTGGATGCTACCCACTCAGGACACTTGGAATACATTGGACGAGCAGTATGGAGGAATATTGACACGTTTTTTGTGGACTTTTATGGACCTTTCTGCCTCGGGCGCCATAGACCTCCATTATTTGAATGTCAGCAGACAGCAAGAAGCCTCCCAGATCTCCAGATGCATTTGAGATATCAAAAAAGTACTCCAGAGTGTTGTTCAGCATGGGGGTGAGTAGAAAATGAAGGCTAATCATGTTTTGGGTGTACTATTCCTTTAATAGGAGATCAGAGAATCGAGCAACACCTGAACCGTGCCGAGCCGCACTGTTGAACTAGTGCTACACTGGAAAAACGATCTAGAAATAAGTGAAAAGGTCTTAAATTAAGCGTATTTACCCTTAATTCGAGTAGGTAAATAATATAGTTTGCCAATGGAATGACTATTTTTACCCTTAAAATAAGATATTTAGATAAAATGCACTTGAAATAAGACAATTATCGGTGTTTTCTTATTTTAATCGTAAATTGTTTTGTTCCATTGGCAAAATGTCTCTTTTACATCCTTAATCCAAGAAATAATGCACTTATTTTAAGAAAAAATGACTTATCTAGATCGTTTTTTTCCCCAGTGTAGATTTGGCTCGGTTTGGTTGTGTCTGGCACGGATCAGTTCAGTTGTGTTCCATTTAAACTCAGTTATCTCAGTTAAGGTGGATTTATACTCAGAAAACCAGGTCGTCTGCGAGTAAACGCAAATATGACCCCTTACTTAGACACTCTGCTGCACCTCCCCAAAATTGTAGGTAACTGCAGACAGGAGGCCTCTGATTGGTCAAATCTACATCAGTTTGATGCGTTACCGGCTTCTTTTTTTTTTGTATGACCACCATTGTGGAAAACGACTCGTAAAATTGGACCAGTTAGAAGAGCGAGGTGCGTGAGAACCCAGACCACGCTTCAAAATTGGGCAAAAATCAAAAATATCTGCGATAAGCTGACTGCGACACACTGCTGCGGGACTATAACCAGCCCTTTACAATGCTTGGACCGTTCTCGGCGCGGTTTCAAAAGGGTCGTGTAAACTATAAGATCTATACGCTCTCAGTCTGGGTCAGTAGACGACAGCATCCAGGACGGTTTCACTGACACCATCCACAAAGTAGAAGCTGATTGTTTACAGAGTTCTGTATTCAAGCACAATCATAGAAAGTTCAGTGGAAGGAAAAAGTCTGATAAGATGAGGTTCATTATCAACCGGGGGAACAGCAGCCTTCAGGGGATTTTCAGTCAGAAAATCTGGATTTTTTGGAGATTTTAAGATCCATCAGATCCTACAAACTTAAAATCCTCTAAACATCTGACCAGTTCTGAAAAAAATAGAACGAGACGGCTGTTCAGGGTCCAACATTTTCTTTTTAGATGAAAGTAAAGTTTGTTTTAGCAACAAAGGTCCGACAGACAGAAGGAGGAATGGAGAGGACCAGAAGCCACCATGCTGGAAGTCCAGAGGGGCCGTCTCATTGCTGGTTCTGGGTTTTCAGAGGTCCACATTTATTACAGTCATCTGACAGGTTATTTTCAGCTGTTCACGCTTCCTTCTCCTGAGAAGCTTTATGGAGGTACTGGTTTCATTTCCCAGCAGGAGTCGGTACCAGCCCATACTGCTAACGGTACCAAAAACTGGTCCAATTACCATGTTTGTTGTGCTCTGAACAGAACCAGAGAATCTATAGAGTATCATCCAGAGGAAGACATGAGACACCAGAACCAATGCAGAGGGAAGCTGCAATCTAAGTAAACTGGGCCTAAACTGGAGCTCAGCAGAACCACAGGCTGATCTCCTCCATCATTAACGCAGAAGGAGCCCAGACCAAACACTGAGGTTCTTTAGTTCTCCATCATTGTTAACTAAACTACAAGATAAAGGTTTGAAATGTTTCACTGCTTGGGTCGTTATTCTATATGAGGGAAAGAAAATCTCAACATGTTTCTAGATATTCTAGGCTTTTTAGCTCTAGTTTGGTGGTTAAAGCAAAGAGGAAAAGCAAAGGTCCATTTAAAGCCGTCTGTTGAGTTCTGCAGGTTTTGCTTTAACCCTTTCAGCTCCGATCAGACCTGATCTCCTCCTCTTCCTCATCGAAACCAGACAGACGGAGGCAACAGGTTCAAGTTTCTCATGAAAAATGTTCTAAAACCATTAGACAGTAGAACAGAAACGTATCTTTGTATTTTTTCTAATGTATAAAGTGCTGCACTGTCGTCAAAAACACCAGTGCTGCATTAGAAAAAAATCGAAATCTAGATAAGTTAAATTTTATTAAAATAAGTTAATTTTTTCTTGAATTGAGGAGGTAAGTGAGACACTTTGCCAGTGGAACAAGACAATTTACATTTAAAATAGGAAAAAACAATTGCTTTGTTTTACTATCTAATTTATCTTATTTTAAGCGTAAAAATACTCATTCCATTGGCAGAGTATCTTATTTACGTGCTCAAATTAAGGCTAAATACACTTCATCTAAGAAATGTTGACTTCTTTCTAGATCGTTTTTGCAGTGTGTTTTAACCAATCCTGTGTGAGATCTTTGGACGTCTCTGAATCCCAAAGCAGTTGTGCAGGAAAGCTTTTCTCTTCCTCTTCTTTCCACCGCTTCAGACGGAAACCGTCTCAAACAGAAGAATCTGTGTAAAGCAGAGGATGATGGCGAGTTTCCTGTGAGACAAACCTTAAAACCTGTTAAAAATGTCTGATCCTGTGATAAACTTTAAAGTTAAAACATAAACTATATTAAAGTTCTTATTTTATAACTAAACCTGCCGTCTCACTTTGGTTGATTGTGTTTCAGCAATGATATAAAATAAACAACTGCACCTTTTTTTATCACTGGTTTAATCCAGATTATAGGAAAGGACTCTTTAGTCAAAGCAGCGGACTCCATGATCAGAGCTGTCTGAATAGTGCCTGCAGTAAGGAATTCCTATTATAACTCCTTCAGTTTAGTGAGCTAGAAGAGTCATGATGATTCAAACTAACACATAAAATATTAATATTCACACTTATTTGTGATTTTTGCACAATTATATCTTCATTTATAAACTACCATCAGTCTTTGGACATCATTGCATTTCTGTTTGAATGTTTGATTTTATGCACAAATGCTATGGTTTGCAATAAATTAGGTAATTTCATTGTTTTATCCAGCAACAGAAATGTATTGCATATGATAGTTATATTGAAGAATTGGATGTGGCTGCAGCAAACAGAAAGAGGCGGAGACTGACCACATTGCAAACCAATACCATATTTGGACGCCATATCCTGTTCCAGCTCTTCATGTTTTGTCTTTGTTGATTAAAAAAAAATCACTGTTGTTTCTAGTTTTTTAAAGATAACGTTTTATAACGCTATATTAAAATACACAAATGTTCCACATTTAAAAACCCCAATAAAGTAATGATTAAATAAGAACAAGAGTGCAGTGGAAACAATCCCGCCGAGCATAAATGGCTTAAAAATACAACATTAATTACGTTCGAATGACGTACAAAACAGAAGTTATAGTCTTTGGAAAAGAAGCTGATTAGCCAGTCACTTCATTTGGATGGGATTAAACTGATTTCAGATAATAAAGTAAAAAATCTTGGTGTTGTTTTTGATCAGGACCTGTCATTTAAATCCCATATCAAAGAGGTTTCTAGAAGTTCCTTCTTTCATCTGAGGAATATTGCAAAAATGAGAAATCTCCTGTCCAGG